CGCTTTCTGCTTCTCTACCGGGGCCGGCCGGGCCTTTGCAGCCTGCAGGGACCAGCACAGCACTCTGAGTGCCCAGCCCCAGCATGCACCTTCCCCTCCTGACCCCCAGCCCTCCCTCAGACCCGTGCCCATGACAGCAGTGAGCTCAGAGCAGCTATTTGGGATCCTGTACAGACACTCAGCAAGGAGATGCTACCCCCAGCTCTCAGCCCGCTACTCTACATCACCTTTGGTTTCTTTTCCAGGTCAGCTTCTGTCTTTGGCCCCAGCAAATGCAGCACCTGGGAACGAGAGACGCAGACAGGAAGAGAAAAGGCTCCCAGACCCCCAGGGCCTGAGGCTGGCCCTGTCCAGCTGTCACACTCCTCACTCTGCCCACACCTGACCAGGGCAGGCGGTCCCCAGCATCGGGCCCTTCCATGGGACAGGCCAGTGGGTCCTGCACCAGGCATGGCATCAAAATGAGCCAGCACTGTGCCCTTGTGGCCAAGAAGGCCAATGCCATCCTGGGGTGTATCAGGAGGGGTGGTTGTAGGGCAGAGAGGTTCTCCTGCCCCTCTACTCTGCCCTGGTGAGACCACATCTGGAATATTGTGTTCAGTTCTGGGCCCCTCAGTTCAAGAAGGACAGGAACTGCTGGAGAGAGTCCAGCGTAGGGCTACAAAGATGATGGAGGGAGTGGAGCATCTCCCTTCTGAGGAGCGGCTGAGGGAGCTGGGGCTCTTTAGTTTGCAGAAGAGGAGACTGAGGGGAGACCTCATTCATGTTTATAAATATTTCAAGGGTGAGTGTCACGAGGATGGAGCCAGGCTCTTCTCGGTGACAATGATAGGACAAGGGGTAACGGACACAAACTGGAACACAGGAGGTTCCACTGAAATTGGAGAAGAAACTTCTTCTCAGTGAGGGTAACAGAGCACTGGCCCAGGCTGCCCAGAGAGGTTGTGGAGTCTCCTTCTCTGCAGACATTCAACACCCGCCTGGACGCCTTCCTGTGTAACCTCATCTGGGTGTTCCTGCTCCGGCAGGGGGATTGGACTGGATGAGCTTTTGAGGTCCCTTCCAATCCCTAACGGTCTGGGATTCTGTGAAATGGGACACCACCCGACCCGCTCCCCTCGCACCCACCTGCAGGTCCACCTCATTCTTGATGGTCTTCCCGTCCGCCCACCGCAGCCGGCTCCGTGCCTCCCCTGTGGACAGGGCACCCCGTGGGTGAGAGGCATGGCCCAGCCTGGGCTGCTGACACAGGACGCCAGTGCCCACGGGTGGAGGCAGCCCTTGCCTTGCCCCAGGGCTGTCCCTGGCACAGGGACTGCCATCCACAGCCCTGCCCGTGTGGTGGACACAGCAGGATGTCTCTCCTGCACCGGGTGGGCTGCAGCACAGCAATGCAGCAGCTGGGGCTGGGGGCTGGTCCTCAGGATTCAGGGGTACAGAGGTGCCAGGCAGGCGCTCCCCAGCACCCCACACTCACCCATCAGCAGCCCCATGTTGAAGTGGTAGCGCTCAGCCAGCAGCTCCTCTCGGTGCTTCCCAACCACGGCCTCCACCTGGGGATCAGGACAGGGACATGGGGGTGAGCAAGGCAGGTGGAGAGCGTGGCATCAGGGGCTGCCACCCTGTCCTGTCCCGTGTCCCCCACGCCGTCCCCACTCACCGCCTCCTCGATCTGCTCGGGGGTGACGCACACC